TGCGTTGGGATAAAGACAAAGCTCAACTGCATGACAGTTTACAAACATGTCTGTGACAATGGCAGGACGGAAAGCAGGGCCTCCCCAGAGGATCTTAAGATGTTCCTCCCATCCCCATTGCAACTTCCCAAAACATTGCTCTGCAGAAATAGGTGCGTTGGGATGAAGACAAAGCTCAACTGCATGAATAAAAGTGCATCGCCCAACGTACGCAACTCTCCTAAGACAGTTTGTGATTGAATTGGGTTGTTGTAGTTTTTTCGGGCTGTATGGCCACGTTCTAGAAGCATTCTCTCCTGACGTTTCGCCTGCATCTATGGCAGGCATCCTCAGAGGTTGTGAGGTCTGTTGGAAACTAGGAAAATTCGACAATACCTTGTGATTGAATTTTATATGAAAATCAAGACCTTTGATTTACTTGTTGTTTAAATCACACTCGTCACAATAATCTGCAAACCAAATCTTTGCATCTATCCAATAAAGAAGTGCATTCTCCGAACTGAAATGAATGAATGACTGGAACAGATCCCATGATTGGACAGAACAATTGGATTATCAGACATCCCTCCCTCTCTCTTCCTCACAACATTCCAGTGATGTGATAATACCATATCAAAAGGGGGACAGTTTCTTCTAGTGTTGTATTAAGACATCCCCCCCCCCCTCAAGAAAGAAAGAAAGTGTGGCATGCTACACTAGCCTTGTGGCTATCACCGAAATGACATGCAAATACAATTTTCTTTTTTTTTATTCCGAGCCTTGTCCTCTTGATCTAATTATCTCATTTTACCAGCACAAATACCATGGAAGTGAGCCACATCCTAGGGGGCAGTCCCCAGCAAAGGGTTTCAATCCAGAGCCAGTACTGTACTGGAAGGGGAGGACAATGTGGGAGTGAAATTTTGGTCTGCTTTGCTGACGCAATTCCCTTGCACGTGTCTGGTCTGTGTGTGTGTGAGAGAGTGCCTGGTGGGTTTTTTTTTCAATGAAAGTTTAAGGAGGGGGGGTTGAGCGCATAGATTTAGTACACGTGCGCACCAGCTGGTCTGACATGATAAAAACAGAATGGCTCTGAAGGAGAGGTTCCCTGCCTGTCAGACCAATAATCCATACAGATTCCACTCAGGAGAGCATCTCGCAGATCTCCTTGCTCCAAAGACACATGCATGGCAAACAACCCCTCCTTCAGGCTCCCACCCCCAACATCATCCATGCCCAGGGTCTCAGCAAACTTCAACAGGAAGATTTCTCAAGGCATTACAACCCCAAGAGTTCAAGCAAGCCATAGCTTTCCACTGTTATGTCACAGCCATGCTTCCAAGCAGCCAGGTGGCAAGAAAGAGTCTGAATGAAAGGAATGCATCTCCCCATCCTGCTCCACCCCGCCTCCCCCTTCAATATCACCCCCCCCCCCACTCGACTGAAGAGAGAGAAAGCACGAGGGAGAAAATCCTGTTTTGCTTGACTTGTGCTAGATCATATTTATACACTCCAGAGCCGGAGGTTCCAAGGGCTGTTGCTAAAAATATGCACCCGTTGCCTTTTGATCACTGATCGGAGGTGAAAACACACCGCTCTCGGCATCTGTCACAACCTGGCGCTCTTGGAGGAGGGAGGGAGGGAGGGAAGGAGGGAAGGAGAGAAATGAAGGAAGGAAGGAAGGAAGGAGAAGGAAGGAAGGAAGGAAGGAAGGAAGGAAGGAAGGAAGGAAGGAAGGAAGGAAGGGACAAGAAAGGCACCCGGGCTTGGGGAGACAGGTATCTTTTGGGGCGGGGGGGGGGCAAAGGAAGGAAGGAAGGGTGCATAGAAGGAGGGAAGAACAGGAAGAACAGATAAGGGGGGGTGGAAGGAAAGATAGATGGATGAACGAATGAACGGATGAATAGATGGACGGACGGACGGACAGACGGAAAGATAGATGGATGGAAGGATGGATGGATGAGTGGGTGAGTAGATAGATGGGTGGATGGACGGATGGAAGGGCGGACGGACGGACAGACGGAAAGATAGGTGGATGGATGGATGGATGGATGGATGGATGGATGGATGAGTAGGTGAGTGGGTGAGTGGATAGATGGGTGGATGGACGGATGAATGGATGAGTGGATGTATGGATAGATGGATGAGTGGGTGAGTGGATAGTTGGGTGGATGGATGGATGGGTGAGTGGATGGATGGGTGGATAGATGGATGGATGGGTGGGTGAGTGGATAGATGGGTGGATGGACGGACGGACGGATGGATGGGTGGATGGATGAATGAGTGGATGTATGGATAGATGGATGAGTGGGTGAGTGGATAGTTGGGTGGATGGATGGATGGATGGATGGATGGATGGATGGATGGATGGATGGATGGATGGGTGAGTGGATGGATGGGTGGATGGATGGATGGACGGACGGACGGACGGACGGATGAGAGGATGGGTGGGTGGGTGGGTGAGTGGGTGGGTGGACGGATGGACGGACGGGTGGCGGATAGATAGATAGATAGATAGATAGATAGATAGATAGATAGATAGATAGATAGATGAGTGGATGGATGGATGGACGGACGGACAGACAGACAGATGAGTGGATGGATGGACGAACGGACAGATGGATGGATGGATAGGAGGACTGTCGGTCGGAAAGACACACAAACAGATTGATGGACGGACGAACGAATGGACAAACGGATAGATAGATAAATAGGTAGAGAGAGAGATGGACGGACGGACGGACGGACAGATAGATAGGTAGGTAGGTAGGTAGGTTGACAGACACAGTCAGATAGAAAGAAATAGAAATGGGGAAAGGGAGTCGGGGTGCCAAGCAAAGTTCGGAGGGGGGCAAAGAAAAAAAGGAGGGAGGGAGGGAAGGAAGGAAGGATGGAGGTGGAGAGTTAAGAGATATGGGGAAAGTGAGAATAAGACGCCTTAGGAGTTGGGGAGCCAAGCAAATTTCTGAGGATAGGGCAAAGAAGGAAGGAAGATAAAAAGAATGAAGGGAGGGAGGGAGTTAACAGTAAGCCACCTTGAGATATGGGGAAAGTGAGAGTAAGACGTCTTAGGAGTTGGGAGGGGGGGAGAGCTCGGCGCTTTGAAGGTTAGAGAGCCATCCAAGGTTCTAATGAGCAAAAAAGGAAGGAAAGAGGGGGAGAAGGAAGAATAGAAAGACAAAGTGAAGGGAGGACAGAAAGAAGGGAGAATGAAGAGAAGGAGGGATAGGAAGAAGGAAGGAACAATGGGAAGATAAGACGAATGGACAGATGGAAAGAAATGGATGGATGGATGGATGGATGGATGGACGGACGGATGAGTGGATGGATAGATAGGAGGACGGACAAAAAGACTGACGGACGGACGGACGGACGGACGGACGGACGGACGGAGGAAGGAAGGAAGGAAGGAAGGAAGGAAGGAAGGAAGGAAGGAAGGAAGGAAGGAAGGAAGGAAGACTGGAAGGAAAGAGAATGAATGAATGATGGGTGGAAGGAAGGAAGGAAGAAAGGAAGTTCTCTTTCAGCCGCCATCCACGTCGATCCCGTTGCAATCCTCTCCACGGAAAGGCTGCTCTCCTCCTCACCCTCCTCCTCCTCCCTCCCTCCCTCCCCTCCGCTTCCCCAGAATCCCACGCGCCGCCTGCCCCGCACAATTCGACTTGAGATCCGATTGGAAACAAGGTGCGATCAGCTCGGGTGGCTCAGGAAACCAAGATCCAAAGAAAAGAGAGAGAGTGGGGAGGGGGAGTGAGAAAGAAAGAGAGATAGAAAGAAACAGAGAGAGAGAGAGAGAGAGGAGGGAGGGATGGAGATGGAGAGGAAAGAAGAGAGAAAAAAAAAGAAAGAAAGAAAGAAAGAAAGGAAGGAAGGAAGAGAGAGAGAGGAGGGCGGGATGGAGCAAGAGAGAGAGATAGAAAGAAAGAGAGAGGGTAGGGGGATGGAGCGAGAGAGAGATAGAAAGAAAGAGGGGGGGGTGGAGGGATGGAGCGAAAGAGATAGAAAGAAAAAAGAAAGAAAGAGGGGGGAAGGGAGGGATGGAGCGAGAGAGAGAAAGGAAGGAAGAGAGAGAGAGAGAAAGAGGGGGAGGGATGGAGATGAAGAGAGAGACAGAAAGAGAGAGAAAGGAAGAAAGAGGGGGGAAGGGAGGGATGGAGCGAGAGAGAGAGATAGAAAGAAAGAGAGAGGGGGGAGGGATGGAGATGGAGAGAGAGAGAGATAGATAGAAAGAAAGAAAGAAAGGAAGACAGACAGAAAGAAAAGAAAGAGGGGGGGAGGAGAGGAGAGAGAGAGAGAGAAAGAAGGGAGAGAGGGAGGAGAAGAGAGAGAGAGGAGGGAGGGATGGAGAGAGATGAAAGTAGAAAGAAGGAAAGAAAGAAAGAAAGAAAGAGGGGGGAGGGATGGAGATGAAGAGAGAGATGTAAAGAAAGAGCGAGAGGGGGAGGGAGGGATGGAGATGGAGAGAGAGATAGAAAGAGAGAGAGGAGGGAGGGATGGAGACAGAGAGAGAGAGAGAGAAAGAAAGACAGACAGACAGACAGAAAGAAAGAGGGGTAGAGAGGGTTGTAGATGGAGAGAGAGAGAGACAGAAAGAAGGAAAGAAAGAAAGAAAGAAAGAAAGAAAGAAAGAAAGAAAGAGGGGGGAGGGAGGAGAGGAAGAGGAAGAGAGAGATAGGAAAAAAGAAAGAAAGAAAGAAAGAAAGAAAGAAAGAAAGAAAGAAAGAAGGAAAGGAAGGAAGAAGGAAAGGAAAAAAGAGAGAGAGAGAGAGATGAAAGAAAGAAAGAAAGAAAGAAAGAAAGAAAGAAAGAAAGAAAGAAAGAAAGAAAGAAAGGGGGGTGGAGAAAGAGAGAGGAGTGGGGCTCTTTCCTCAGCGCCATGTCCGCTCTTCCCCGGTTCCAAAAGTACCCGATCGCCCTCCCAAGAAGGGAGGGGAGTCCCTTAGAAATGGGGGGGGGGGGGCCCTCTCCGCCCTTCTTTTCCTTTTTTCCTTCCTTCCTTCCTTCCTCCCGCGGCTCCTCACCGGCGTTCCTCAGCTTCTTGTTCCTGTAGACGGAGAGGATGACCAGCAGGTTGCCCAGCACGTCGACCACGATGGTGAAGATGAGGATGGCGGCCAAGGTGGAGGCCACCCAAGGGGGACGCTCCCCGCTGGAAGGGGGCGCCTCGGGCGGGTGGGAGCCGTTGACGCCGCCGCCGCCGCTGCTCCCGTTGCCCCGCATGCTTCACGCCGCCGCCGCCGCCGGCATCCCGGGAACAAGAGAGAGAGAGGCAGAAGGGAGCAAGCAAGCGCGCCTCTCGATCTCTGCTGAGGATCAAGGGCTCGGCGAGGCAGCGTGCCACCCGGCACTTCGGGCTCGGCAGCGCCGCAACACGGCCGCTCTGGAAGCTTGGTCCCCCCCTCCCCCCGTGCCGGCGAAGTTTCGCCCAAAGTGTGCATGCGCCCGAGCGAGTTACTTTTATAGCCTCCCCTTTTCCGCCTCCTCCGTCCGCCTCCTCCTCCAGCTGCTGCAGCCGCCGCCCCCTCCCCAAAGAGGAGCGCCCCCCTTTCCTCGCCTTTCCCTCCGCCGCCACTGTTGCCTCCAGGTGACATCGCGCGTCGGCGCCCCCCTTTTCCCCCCGCCCTCCCTGGACACGTGCGAAGCGAGGGGATTCCAGCTGCCTGGCCCCGAGCCGCCGCGCCAACGCTGTCCGGCAGCGACCCCTGCCGGCCGCGCGGAGGAAACAGCGCCGCTCGCTTCTACTCTGCCCCATTCATTTTTTCCCTTTCTCCTTCTGCCTTCCACACCTCGCTCACCCCGGTTCCATTCATCCCCTCGCGCTCCATTCATTCATCCTTGTACCTCATTCAAAAGAGCCGAGCCAGGTTCATTCACGGATTCTGGGGGCAGAACGTCGAGCCAGCCACAGCCCGCAGATCATATTAGTCTTGGGTTGCTGTGAGTTCTCCGGACTGTAGTATTATTATTTATTTGGAGGGCATTGGGGAGGGGGGAGGGGGGTAACTTCCTTGATCTTCACGCTCCTGTTGTGTTGATCTTCTGCAAACACACACACACATTATTATTATTTATATATTATATAATATCCTATTATATATTATGCATGTTATATATATTATATATATATGCGCACAATTTATTTCGAGGGGGTAACTTCCTTGATCTTCAGGCTCCTGTTGTGTTGATCTTCTGCAAACACACATCATCTGTCTATCTATCTATATATTATGTGTGTGTGATGGAAGATCAAGGAAGTTACCCCCCCCCCGAAATAAATTTATTTCGGGGGGGGTAACTTCCTTCCTTGATCTTCAGATTCCTGTTGTGTTGATCTTCTGCAAAGACACACACACACATGTATTATTTATTTGGAGAGAGTAACTTCCTTGATCTTCTATCTCTGTTGTGTTGATCTTCTGCAAACACACTATTATATTTTATTATTTGGAGGGGGTAACTTCCTTGATCTTCCATCTCTGTTGTGTTGATCTTCTGCCAACACACAAACACACACACTATTATATTTATTATATTATATTATATTATATTATATTATATTATATTATATTATATTATTTGGAGGGGGTAACTTCCTTGATCTTCCATCTCTGTTGTGTTGATCTTCTGCAAACACACACACACACACACACATTTATATTATATTTTATTATATATTATATTTGGAGGGGGTAACTTCTTTGATCTTCCATCTCTGTTGTGTTGATCTTCTGCAAACACACACACACACACAATTATATTATATTATATTATATTATATTATATTATATTATATTATATTATATTATATTATATTATATTATATTATATTATAATTTGGAGGGGGTAACTTCCTTGATCTTCCATCTCTGTTGTGTTGATCTTCTGCAAACACACACACACACAAACACACTATTATATTATATTATTATATTATATTATATTATATTATATTATATTATATCATATCATATCATATCATATCATATTATTTGGAGGGGGTAACTTCCTTGATCTTCCAGCTCTGTTGTGTTGATCTTCTGCATAGAGAGAGAAGGGGAGTGTTTTGTTTTGGTTTTTCTTTACTTTGCTCTCTTCCATTCCAACTCTTTCCCAGGCTAGATCTGAATGTCACTGGTTAGGACTAGAAGGGGAGGGGGAAGAAGGGATGAATGGCATCGGAGTGTGCTATAAAAAGATCCTCGCGCCCACATTTGGGGGAAAAAGGTGTGTGTGATGGGTGGGGGCACCCCAAGACCCGAATCCCCCCACAGCCGCACGTGCGGAAGGAGGAGGAAGGCATGCAAGAGGGGGAAGTTGGGAAAAGTCTGGTTTGGGGGAGGATGGTTTGGGGGCATCTGAAGAGCCCGGGTTGTTTTGTCATCTCTGGCTTTGGAGATTGGTCTGGTTCTCTCGGCTGTGGGTGGCACCTCCTGGGCTCCTTGGGCAGTCAGTAGTCTTGGCACCAACTGAAAGGCTTTGGGAGCCACAGAGGGACCCCACCGAACCTTGGGACAATAGAAGAGAAGTTGCCATTCCCGGAAGGTGCCAGATTCCCCAATGAGTGAATTTGGCATCCTGGTAAACCTTGGGTTAAAGACGATGGGCAGCAAGGCGCATGAAGACAAGCAACAGGGAGAGAATGGCAAGTGGGGTTTCCAAGGGTAGGTGCCCTATTGCAGTAATACAAACATTATATATATATATATATATATATATATATAGAGAGAGAGAGAGAGAGAGAGAGAGAGAGAGAGATGTGTGTGGTACCCAATTGCATGTGAGTGTGTGTATGTGTGAATATATATATATATATATATATATATATATATATATAATTTGAGATATATATAATTCATTTGAGAGAAGTATAATAATGTGTGTATGTATATGTGTGTGTGTGTATGTATGTGTGTGTATATAACACTGCAGTAGGGCACCTATCCTTGGAAACACCACTTGCCATATATATTATATCATCTCTCTCTCTCTCTCTCTCTCTCTCTATATATATATATATATAGAAACAATTTTTTCCGTTGTTGCCCAGGCCTAATATATATATATATATATATATATATATATATTTATATATATATATATATATACACACTACACACACACACACACACACATATATGCATATATATATATATATATATATATATATATATATATCTGCAATAGGGCACCTATCCTTGGAAACCCCATTTACCATATATAGAGAGGGGGGGATATATATAGGTGGTCTCTATTGCAGATATATAAATCTGCAATAGGGCACCTATCCTTGGAAATCCCACTTGCCATATATATAATTTGATATATAGAGAGGGGGGATTGAGAATATATATATATATATATAGAGAGAGAGAGAGAGAGAGAGTGATTGAGATTATACACACATACAATTACTGCAATAGGGTACCTACCCTTGGAAACCCCACTTTCCATATATAATTTCAGAGACACATCTATCTATCTATCTATCTATCTATACCTGCAATAGGGCGCCAACCCCTGGAAACCCCACGCCATATATATAATTTCAGAGATATATCAATATATATAGAGAGAGATCTGTAATAGGGCACCAACCCCTGGAAACCCCACTTGCCATATCTATGATTTCAGAGACATGTCAATATATATATATATATATCTGTGAAATAGGGCTCCAACCCCTGGAAACCCCAATTGCCACATATATAATTTCAGAGACATGTCAAATGTGTGTGTGTGTGTGTGTGTGTGTGTGTGTGTGTGTGTGTGTGCAATAGGGCGCCAACCCCCTAACTTCGGGGATATATCAATTGAGAGAGAGAGAGATCTGGAATAGGGCGCCAACCCCTGGAAACCCCACTTGCCATAGATATAATTTCAGAGATATATCAATAGAGAGAGAGAGAGAGAGATCTGCAGTAGTGCGCCTACCCTTGGAAACCCCACTTGCCACACACACACACCCCTACCAGTATCTACTTATCTATTTCCTTAAGGCGCCTACCCTATGCATAATACTCAATGGAGCTCTCTCTCTCTCTCTCTCTCTCTCTCTCTCTCTCTCTTCCTCCTCTCTCTCTCTCCACATTATTGTTTTAATACCATCCTAACAGCTGATTGCCAGTCCAATCTCTTTTCCATCCCCTCTGTTGGAAATCTGGCTCAGAAAACACGGGAACAGATTGCATACATCCAGAGACTGCCTTAATGAGCTGGATATATTTATTCACAAAAAAGGAGGGAAAAAAGCCAATTCAGAAAATTCTCCCCACAAACCCATTGTGGGATAAAAAAACACTTTTGGGGGCTCCGTCCTTCCCACTTTTTGTTGACAAAAAAAGCCCTGATTCTGGATAAATGAAGGGAAAGAGAGAAAAACAACTTCTATTTTGGATGGTTTCAAAGAAGAAGAGAAGAAAGGGGATCCGATGATAATGAAGGAGAGAGAGAGAGAGACAGAGAGAGAGATGCTTGACAAATAAGCCAAGAAGCCCAGGGAGTGATTGGCATTAACCGAAGCAAGGTCTAAGAAGATGCAGGAGCTTCCTATTTGCCATAGCATTGGCGCACCATTGGTTTCAAAGGGGGGTGGAGGGGGGGGGGAGCACAGCTAAAAATAGCATCCAGTGCTCTCACACGTGCCTTATGCTAGAAGGAAAGTTTTCTATTATTTGTATTCATCACAGATTCATAGGAATGGAAGACCTGAAAGGAACCCAAGGGCTCCTGGTGTCTCACTGCACCCAGACGGAATGATACTATTAGATCCACCCCCAAACCTATCCTTGGGAGACAATTTTGGGCCATTTCCAAGCAGGCGTTTTCAAAAATAACATGTAAAAAAGGGAAGAAAGGACTCTATCTGCATGGTTTTCTGAATGAGATCTCTCCCCTTGCAGGTAGAGTTAGGAAGTAACAATTTTGGAGATGCCTTTCATCAAGATATATTAAGTGCCCGGACCTCATGGCTGTAAACATGTTTGTAAACAAATCCAACTATGCACAGGTCCCACCTCCATATGCAGTGAAGCAAGGGCATTGGTTAAAGTGAGTCTGCAGCATGGATCCAGCAATCAAAATAAAGCTTTGTCTTTGTTTCTCTTGGGTGCCATGTTCAAAATAAATGTGATTTCAGGCATTTATAGAAATAATAATAATAATAACAACCACCACCATGTCAGACTACACAGAGAAGCCATTGAAATCCATAAGCATGTGGACAATTTCAACAGAAAG